TCGTAGAGGCTGGGTGGTTCACCCCGAGCCAGCGCGAAAGGCTTCGAGTCCCGATCTTTCCCGAAACCCTAGGCCCTAAACCCCAAACCCTATAAGCCCTAAACCCGAAGCCCTGTAAGCCCTAAACCCTATAAGCCCTAAACCCTAAGCCCTAAACCCTAAACCCTGAACCCTAAGCCCTAAGCCCTAAGCTCTAAACCCTAAGCCCTAAACCAGGAGTCGGCTGCTTAGTCAGCTGCTGAGTGCGTCCCATACCATCGAGGAAGCCGTGAAAGGATCCTCGTCACAACGGTCCCCGAACCTCCCGTTAGTAAGCTTACAGATCCTCAGTTTAGGGTTTAGGGCTTTTGGGGTTTAGGGGTTTAGGGTTTTTGGGGTTTGGGGTTTAGGGCTTTTGGGGTTTAGGGTTTGAGGGTTTTAAGGTTCAGGGTTCAGGGTTATGGCTCACCTACACCCTGCGAGCTCTGCACAGGCCCCAATACTTGGAGGTTCCTGGGCAGATCGATCAAAGGTTCTAAGAACTTTGAAAAGGGGTTTTAACTATACTTACGCTACTTGTTACATATGCAACTTATAACTTACCCCCTGAACCAATATAATACTAATTATACCCCAATGCCCTCGTGAATCCTACACCCCTAAACCGTGAACCCTAAACCCGAAGCCCCAAACCCAAAACGACCCCGCAGCCCCCGCGCTTAGACATCGGCCCAGCTTTCTGCTCCTGACTGGGAAGATCAACCTCAGGACCGATAGATTTGCTTCGGGTGTTAGGGTCTTCTTTTGAGGGTTTTAGATTAGGGGTTTAGGGTTTAGGGTTTAGGGGTTTAGGGGTTTAGGGCTTAGGATTTTAGGATTTAGGGTTTCCAGGCCGATTGGGTTTTGAGATTGCAGGTTTAGCGCTTGGGGTTTAGGTTTCGCGCAGTCGTCATTACGAAACAACAGTCATACTCTCTTACGGTAAATATCAGCCCCCCTTGTGATTTGCCTCAGCAAGAGGGATCAACCTAAGGCCCCCCAAACCCTCAACCCTGAACCCTAAACCCTAAGCCCCAAAACCGCTTCATGCTTTTAGTGGCCCATCTTTTCGGCATCGGCTTCTAGGATTTTTGAGTCATGTCGACTGACGGCTTCATGGTTTCAGGATTCACGGATTCACTTCGGGCCTTTGGAGTATCTACTCATAACCTTACTGCAGTTCTTCTACTTACTAAGTCCTCTGGAGCTCTGGGGATTAGGCTCCCGGTTAAGGGTTCACTTGGAGGTTCGCGGATAGCTTGAAGTGGGGCGATAAGATAAGTCTCTTAATGCGGGATAGAATTATATATGTTGCCCAAACCCTAAACCCTAAATCCCAAAACCCTAAACCGCAAACCCTATACACACCAAACCCCTACTAAACCTCTAAACCCTAAACCCCTAAACCCCTAAACCCTAAACCCTAAACCCTACTTATGGCTCCACGTACAACGACCCTCGAACCCTCCAAGCAGGGTCGAAGGTCTTGAGGCCAGGGGCCTTAGGAGGAGCCCTTAGGGTTTAGGGTTTAGGGGTTTAGGGGTTTCGGGTTTAGGGGTTTAGGGTTTAAGGTTTAGGGTTTAGGTGTTTAGGGGTTTCGGGTTTAGGGATATATTTTGAAGTCGGTTGGCGGTATATTTCCCTTATGGAACCATAAAGAAGCAAGCGATCACCCAGAAGCCTGACATTCGACCTCAAGCCATTATCCCTGAACCCTAAACCCGACCTACCCCTACCTGAACCCCAACCCCCAAACCTGAGCAACCCTAAACCCTAAACAATAAACCTGAGCAACCCTAAACACGAAGCCCTGAACACTAAACCCGAAACACTAAACCCTGAACAATAAACCCTGAACCCTAAACAGTAAACCCGAAACCCATCTGGGCCGCAAGCAGTGATCAACACAACCTTCTCGTCCCGGAAAGCTTCGATCATGGCCTCGACGACCTGCACACGGGTTTAGGGTTTAGGGTTTAAGTAGTTCAGAAAATTAGGGTCCCTTTGAGGTCCCTTTTCATAAGGGCGACATACTATTCTGGGGACCTAGCAAGGGACCCTAATTAGAAAGCTATCACGTTCCCCTGTTTCATGGTCCTGAATACTGGGACTAGGATTCCTTTAAAGAGATCCAGCTTAGGGGTTTGGGGCTTTGAGTTTAGGATTCATATTTGGATCAGGCTTCCTTTGTAGGGGGTCTAAAGGTGTAGAAGGGCTCCATAGGGGGTAAGGTAAAGTTTACCTCACACCAACAACCTTACCATTCAAGGACTTTCACATATGGAAATATAACAAGGAACCCTAAAGAAGGGGATTATTTAGGGTTCAGGTGGCTCTAGGGTTGAGGGGTCGCTTAGTGGCTCGAATCTCGGAGATCAAGTCAAGAACTTCATAGTTTAGGGTTTAGGGTTCAGGGTTTTTTGGTCGCGGGTTTAGGGTGTAGGGTCGCGGGTTTAGGGTTTCGGGTTTAAGGTCTAACCTGCAGAGAAGATTTTGGGGGTGTCCTTTAGGTAGGCTTTTTGGAATCGGGGATTGAATTCGTAGGGCCTAGATTTCAGAGCCCAGGGCACTGCAAATTGGGGCCGAGGCTCGATCTTTGATCTTGGTGGTAGGGTTAGGATTTAGGGTTTAGGGTTTAGGGTTTAGGCTTTACCTCACCACTCCCAATCCCAAGCTTTTGCCAAAGGGGCCTTAATAGTTAGAACAGGGTTTTGGGGTATATTTTACTATCATTATGATAAGGAACCTAAGTTTAGGCCCCATATATTACTGTGCTTTCATCGAAGTGGTCTGCTCATGGCTCCAGGGCTGAGGCGGCGAACTTGTCTGCGGAAGACGAAGCTTTTCTCTTCGGCTTCGTGGACCATTTTGCTCCTACTGTAGGGGCCTTAATAATTACCTAAACTATTTTTTGAGGGGGTTCCCTATCATAGTTACAATGCGCCCCAAAACCCTATTCTATTTATTTAGAATTTAGGCCCCTACATTACGTTGGTTGTCAAGCGCCTTGACAAGCCCACATCGCGCCTGTCAGTCAGACGATGTCCAGAACTAATCCCTGTTCGCGGATCCATAAAAACACCCCAAACTCTAAACTCTGAATTCCTAAACCTTAATCCTCGAATCCGTCACTCCCTGACCCTTATTCCCTCCCAAGCCTTGAAACCATGATCTAGACGCCTGAACAACCGAACTAAGATTTGGGGAGGCTTCTATACCAAAAATATACAAGAGAAGTCCAAGGAATAAGTAGTAGCACTCACTATAGTCATTCAGACCCCAACATTTTATTCGCTGAAGGGAAAGGCTTCGGTGAAGAGGACGACGGGATTTCACACTGGGCTACCGATATTATTATTATTATTATTATTATTAATTTTTATTATTATTATTATTATTATTATTATTTTTGTTTTT